CATTAAAAAGCAACACAATCTACCTGCATTGCAATTACTCTAAACGTGTAATAACGTGCTTTAACCAGTAGGAGGTGCGGGTTAAAAAGCTGTCAAGTTTACAGTGTTAACAAAATAAAATATAGAGTGGCGAAGTCACGCCCATCTACTTCCGGTCCATGGGACCTTATTTCGGAAAAATTATGCATTGAAGTCAATGGAGAAAACTTATCTTTCGATCCCGTTTGATTTGTGCCATGAATTACACATGTTTGTCAATCTTAAAAAATCATTTCCATGTCAAAAAAGTCACAGTTTGTCGTAAAACTGTTGAAATATAAGACTATGAAAAATAAGCAACTAGAAAGACTACAAATCCCAGAGTCGCGTAAGTGATGTTACAATTGTTTTCCTCCACTAAGAGATAGCTAAGATCCGCGCCATATAGATATAATCTATCTATATGGCGCTGGCTAAGATAAGATAACTTTAACAAGATGCCTGTGTGCTTAGTACCAGGTTGTTATCATACCAGCAATGGGTCTTGCTCGTTCTTTCGCTTCCCGTCTGATGAAAGGACCAGGAGTGGCTGGATCAAGTTAGCTACCTAGCTAGTAGCAAGCACGTTAGTTAGCATTTCAGCCTTGTCATTTGTATTAGCATTAACGTGAAGTAACATTAAGTAACCCAACATGTTAAACAGTAAGAGTGGTCATATTTCGTGAACCCTTTGAAGAGTACTGTCACACCGGTGTGATCACACAATTTAAGCCCGGGGGAGAAATGCTAACGCTACATTAGCATCTGCGATCTTTTCTACTTCATGCTATCTGCACAAATGGTTGACATTAAACATTAAAAAGACCAGGCAGTTCAGAGAGAATCAAAGGAACGCAGGCAGGCAGCTTTGCATGACATTCTTCTGGACGTGTTTCATTGTGGTGATAGTGAGGGTAGTCAATCCTTTTGTTGACAAGACAGTAGTGACGGCCATCTTGGTGACGTGTGTTGTTCTGCGAGACCAGAGATGTAGTTCATTGACCGTTTCACACAAACAAATGTGTTACTTCACAGTTTTACGACACATTCTTTTTTTTATGACTTGCAAAATTATCTTTTAAATTGACAAACATCATATGTGTAATTCGTGGCACAATTCAAACGGGATCGAAAGATAATCTTTCTCTCTCCATTGACTTCAATACATAATTTTTCCGAAATAAGGTCCCATGGAGGTCCACCGGAAGGGGAGGGACTTCGCCACTCTATACTGCTGTTTCTGGTTTAGTTTACGATGGATATATTTTGTTATTGTTTTGATATTTGTAACACAAAAGCGATGGAAAAAACCCACAGCAATACAGAAAAGATGGTCTTAACATGACCCAGCGGTCTAGTAGTTAATAAAAAACAATAATATCAAAACAAAATATTACTACTAACTTTATTGTGAAATTAAAACAGAACGGTAAAAGAAACTGAACAATCTGGTGCCACTAAATGTTTTTAAAGCTCGATTGGATGCTACTCAATCGGAAGCTATGGTACCTGTTTATGTGGATGATTATGTAAATGAGCTGTATGATGTCCTTTTGTTGTTCTATTTATGTTTTTATGTTTCATGTGGAACTACTTGAGCAGGTCTCCCTTGAAAAAGAGATCAATGATCTCAATGGGATTTATCTGTATAAATAAAGGTTTGAAATGAAATGAATAGTTTCCGGTCTATTCTGAGGCCCGATTTCTGTAGATACATAAATAACTACGACAGATGTGTAATATTTAATGCAGCCGAACCATTTATTACAATGCATTCATGTGATGACTTTCAAAGAGTAAAGCAAGCACTGCTGAATAAAGTATGATTTTTATCTTTTACGAAAAGTTTTTTTCATATGGAATGCAGTTGGAGGTCAACCAATCACAGAGCTTGAGGACTAATCACGGGGTTTGTGAAGCAAATCACATGGTGTAGTCCCAAACGATAGCTGAGGATTCTGGGTAGTGTTCTGCCATCCTAAACTCCGAAAAAATATTTGTTTCTCCGAATCGAAGGGGAAAAATACAAAAGCATTGAACACAATTTAAACCAATCAATGTTGTGTAATTAACAAGGATAATCTGGTGTTTTTGAGTTGATGAGTAGGACAGATATCACTGTAAAATCAATCGACAGTAAAGAGAATATTTACTTCCGGGTGTAAAATCCTCCGTTATCCAATGGGAATGGACGCTCACATTGCCTTTAAGTGCCGCCGACATGGACCGATACAGTGCTTCCCTGAGCGTCAAATACAGCCGCTGATGGCAATACATTGCAATCAGTTGAAAGCTCTTTGCGTCCGTTTATGAAGCTGAACGAGACTCGGCGCGTCACAACTGCACGTCGAAGGACCCTGACCAAGCGTCACTCCTGGATGTTCAGGGAGTGAGAGTGTGTTGGTCTCTGTGAGTTACTGTGAAGACAGGAGCTGATTGGTGGTCCAGCTATGAATTCACAGAGGGCCCGCTACAGTAACTCAATGAGAGAGTATTGTCAAATGTCAGTACAATTGATCAATCATATCTTTCCTCTAAATGGGTGGGCTTTATTGTCGCAGACTTTATGACAAGTTCCACCAGCTGTGAAGCTTTTCTCCATCACATTGTTTCCATAGCAACAACAACTTCCTGTCAACAGCGTAAACTCGCCTTCAAAATAAAAGCATGTCCATACAAAATAGGAAGCCAAGCCAAATTATGTCATGTCTAAGAAACTTATTGTGAAAGTGTATTCTCTATGTTAGTTTTGTCATATCCCTTTGTCCTGTGCTTTATGTTTATTTTGATAAGTAATTCTCCCTCTCATTTCAGGCCTCCACGCTCCCCGCCCCTATCTGTCTCCTGCGTCCGTGATTGTTTTCCCCGCCCTGATTGTTTCCCCGCCCTGATTGTTTCCACCTGTTCCCCTTATCCTGTGTATATATTGTGCCAGTTCCCTCCTGTCCATTGATGGTTCGTTTCCTCATTTAGGACAAACGTACAAGCCTACTCCACGGACATATTACGTACCTCTAAGCTCCTGATAATAGTCCTTGTTTTTCCTCGAAAGAGTGTTATTGTTTTGTTACTGTGTTTAAACCAGTAAAGTCTTTATTTTGAACACTACCTGAGTCTGAGTTGAGTCGTGCATTTGAGTTCATGCCTCAGAGTTCACTCCTTGACAAATTACACTTAAGACATATAAAGAACTGCAACAAAAGTAACAAACACAATGCAATATATTTTTCAATTTCAAAGAACACAAATTGTGTTATCTACAGGTGTTGTTTTGTGTGGTAGAGGGTCGCTTTCATTGACGCGTTTTGCACCACGGGCCGTTGTTTTGATATTCCGCTTAAGTATACGTTGTGACCATAGACTATATATATAAATGGACGTAGTGTCCATGACGTCACCCATAGGATTCTGCAGAGTTGCCGAGAAGCCCTTAGTAGGCGGAGTCGATCACTAACGGCTTGACAGTGACGTCAGAGTCTAACTCCCGCCTGCTCCAGCCTGATCCAAATAAGGACAAAGAGGCGGAGCCAAGGCGGGACTTGCTGCCACCGAGCTGGAAGTAACAGAGCTAGCTCAGGCTAAGAAGCTAAGCTAACATGAAATACATGCATACCAAGTTACTGCGTGGCACTTTTGATAAAACAGTGTAGTTCCACTACAGTATATAAACGATAAATTCATAATCAAATGAGACAATCTGCAAGAGAATTAGCTATTTTTTGTTATTCTTAATGCTTGTCATTCACACGTTAATAAAAATAAAATAAGCACCAATACATAGCAGAACAATTGTGGCGATGTTCACCTTAATAAGCCTTGTTCAACATAATTTATTTAGCTAATAGCCTACTACAGCGGGCTGCAGGCGAACCAAGTCCGCGTTTCGCTGCATTCCTTGATCTCCAGTTATAACGCCGGACATCCGTCGCCGGGACACTATCGGAGCCGCAGGGGGCTAGCTCCGGCCACCGGGACGCCGGCTGGAGCTAGCCACCACTGGGATAATTGGATCCCCTTTTAACATTTCCTCCCGTTTAGCATTATGGGCGTCATAGCCATAGACCAGGGGTCGGCAACCTTTTTGATATGAGGTGCCATTACAAAAAAAAAATGTTATCAGCATGGCGACGATCGTGAATTATCAACGGGGGGGGGGGGCGAGGAGCTTGACGCTCGTGAACTGTCAAAAGGAGGGCGGAGCCTCGCTGCGGGGAAGCAGTGTGTGGACCTGTCAGCGCAACTTACATGATGCCGAATTTGTAACAACATTCCTTAAAAGGCACAATCACCACAAACACGGCTAAAGGGTCAAGTACAGTAACTACAACTAGCTAACGTTGTAGCCTAGCAGAGTGGACAAGTTGACAACCTGTCCATCAAAGTGACCATGCCCTAATGTGTGCAAAAACGTTAAGACCTAATATAAATAAAAGGGTTGCGTTATAAAACAATCCCCTCAACAATTAATAATCATTAAGGTGGAATCTAACTATATCCCAAATAATTTTATTGCATCCAGGGGTAGAAACATGTTTATTTCTGCTGTAAAGTTGGGCATTTTAACATGGGGGTCTATGGAAATTGATCCTTCCTGCAGTCATCGCCTATCGGCCAATATATGAACTGCAGTTTGTGGCACTTCCTTATTGGCCTCACGGCTCTGCCCCAGAGTTTGCCGCTTTTTGCGAGGGAAGGGGGGGTCAGAGGGACTAGGTATAAAAGTCACGGCTTGCCACTGCAGCTAACAGAGGTGTCTGCTGGTTGGCCAGGGGAAGGAAACTCCCTCCCTCTTAGAGAGAAAAGAGCTAATATGACACAACGTAAAACTTACTAAAGAGCTGAAAATATGTCTGATTTAATATAGATATTAGGCTTTAGGACAAAACAAGAATTCATGAAACAGAATGAAAAGTCGGACCTAAACATTGATGATGCATACAGTAAATGCTGCTTTGAGTGTGTCATAATGTCCGTCTCCTGACCTTTGAGTCTCCTCAGGTGGGCCTTCTGTTCCGTCTCTATGAGGGGGAAGTCCTCTCTCGATGGGCACCTGATCAACCAAAAGCACAGAGCTCACAATTATCATTCATGTGATTCATTTTTGTGTCTGTTTTTTTATACGTAAATTGGACACATAAGAGGCAGAGATACAACAACCATATACAACCACAGTCATGCTGAGGGGTTACGGTTCACAGAGTGGTGCAGTGATGATGTACTGATGTAGGCCGACTTGTAAGATCGCATCAAAAGGGCTCCCTCAACGAAAAGCAATGGGATTGGATTGGAATGTTGCAAAACATTGCACTCAAGCAAACACACTTTCATGATACCTACACCTTTTGTTCATCAGGTTTATATCCATATTTAAATACTACTTTTATAGCGTAAATGCAATCAAAAGAGGTAAAAAGCTAACGTTTAAAAAGGAACTATTACTATCCCGGTGACATGACTGCACAATTACCTAGTCTTATTTAGACACTTTTTACCGCTAACCGCCAACGATACATAGAAGTTTCAGACATTTCAGAAAAAAACATACTGACATATGTCATAGTCCAAATTTCAAATATCTTAAGCTTGTGTTATCACAAACCTTATTCCAGGAAATACACGTTTCTTAAAACCGTTGAATTTTAGGCGAGGGAACAGTAAACTACTGACTCATTTCCAGATTTGGTTTTTAATTGATGACGTATATGATACTATGACAGAACTCAACAAAAATAAATAGATGCATATACAGCTAAAAGAGTGCCACTAATTCAAAAACATGAAGTCCAGATGTTCAATTTGACTATCTGTAGGTGGTTTGTTCTTGTCTTATCAACAAAGCTACATGTAACATTGTAAATGCAATATATTGAGAAGTGAAGTAAATATTAGTTTAAGGGAAAATCTTTTAATATAATGAACAATAGTTCACATAAAAGTATTTTTTCTGCATAGAGAGAAACCTTGTACGTTCATGTGCATTAACCCACTTGCTGACGGTGCGCTGGATGTGGCGGATCCAGACGTTCTTATCTTCTTTGGAGGCAGCGTGGAACTCGTACATCTCAGGAGGAGAGGAGTCGCTGATGAGAAACATGCCTCGCTCCTGATTGGCTATATCCCTCACTATCAGGTTCTGAAGGGACAGCACTGAGGACTTGTCCTAGATCACACACAGGAGGAGGGTTAGCCACAGGAACAATAATAGAGTGACAGTATGGAGAGCTGTCCTTCCAGTCACCTGCACACAAAAATATACATTGGTAGATGCAATGTTGGTGTGTATGTGAGTAAATTTCTTACCAGACATGGGAAGAAGTATCTTTGGTCTTTCTCCTGCAGAAACACCAGGACGTCTGTCATCAATAAGACCGTTGTATCTACAAACACACACACACACACACACACACACACACACACACACACACACACACACACACACACACACACACACACACACACACACACACAGATAACAAGTTAACCAAAACAGGTTCAACTTGTTTCTCCACTATGTAAACACATGTAAACCTGAAGCCACACCCATCACCTAGATACCCTGAAAGAAATCTGAAATTCTTCTGCTGTCATAATATTGTGATTCCAAATCCCAGATAAATGTTGGACAAACCACTACCTGTCATACCCCCGGTGCTTTAGTCCATAATTTCAATGTTTCACGACTGTGTCAATCAATGTATTCCTTTTGACATCATGCTTAGTAGTGCTTTTTAAAAAATAGCTAAAAGTATAGCAAGGTATCAAGGTGCTGGGGGTATCACCTATACATTTTCAATAGATCAATCATAGATAGATCTTATGTTTTGGTCCTAATTTATAGTCAGCACACATTTGCAGGGAGAGAGGTGACAGATACATATTTCTCTGTCGTTGTGGTGCCAGTGGAGAGACAAACAGACACAGGAACGGACACATTATGCTGGGGGTTGTTCAGACAATGAGAATCTGGTTTGAGATGGAAGGAGGAATTGGTGAGCTAAATGTTTAGATGATCTGGTGACTTTGGCCCGGTTTGCTTTAATTGCACAATATTATTGCCTGTCTATAATAATACCCTGTTGCTAACTGCGTGCTAGTAACTGTGAGTTCATATTAAGTGAGCAAGTTAGCAGCTATTATTATACAGTTTGGATGAAAACGTAAGGTTATGTATGGTAACCCATGTTATATAATAATAATAATAATAGATTTATTTTGTTCGCTTTTACAGGTGCTCAAAGACGCTTTACAAATATAGTGAAGGGAAAATAAAAGGAAGGAACAACAAATAAATATATAGTTAAAGTTAAAGTCAAATAATACAAAAACAATCACACATTAAAAGCCAGATTGAAGAGGTGAGTTTTTGTGAGTTTTTTGAAGGTGGTGAGGTCAGTGCAGTCTCTGATGGGTTGTGGGAGTGAGTTCCAGAGGGAGGGGGCAGCGACGGAGAAGGCTCTGTCCCCCCAGGTCCGGTGATTGATGTGGGTGGGGATGGATAGGACATAATGGACAGCGGAGCCCTCTACTGGACTATATGGGTACTCCCCTCGATCCTATCTATGCACGCATTCTTTCACTGAGACTCATACCCGTAGCTGGCCCCCTGGGCGGGCCTACCTGAATGTGCGCGCATCCACCGCATAAGAGGCGGCCTCGCCCGCTCACTGCTATCCCTTTACTTTCTCTTTTAGCTGAGCAGCATAGGGCAGCAGTGCAGGGGCGGTTCTAGGGGGGCCAGGCGGGGCCAGTGCCCCCCTAACACTGACCTCTGACCCCCCTGTAGCCCCCCTAAAAATTAAAAGTGAAAAAAATTAAAAATGTGATTTATTACACGATTTATTGAATGACGGAATAGACGGAACTAACGTTATTCGTCATTCTAGTCGGACCCATTAGAGCGGTGAAATCAGGACCCATTAGAGCGGTGCACTCACTTTCACTGTCCGGCTGAAGCGTGCGAAAAACAAACACTTTTCATCTCGGATCATCAGAGGCTGTTGCATCCAAGAAAGACTGATTGAAACCTACGTTTCGAGAGACTACCACGATAATTGAAGGTGAGTTAAACTATTGTATCCGTGTAATTGTAGATGTAAAGTAGAGATGTAACTGTTCATTGCCTTTATTTTTATATAAATATGGTGTGATTGCAAACATTGCACTATAACTTAAGCTGAAGCTAACAGTAATAACTATAAGATATATCTGAAATAAATAAGTGTACTGAAACAAATACCAGAGGTGGGAGTAAGTCCTACATGTGCAAGTCATGAGCAAGTCTCAAGTCTTGACCTACAAGTATCAAGCAAGTCCCAAGTCACTGTGATGAGAGTCAAGCAAGTCAAGTCAAGTCATACAAAAGTCTGATGAATAAGCCAAGTTTCCGCATTTAAATCAGTTAAAAGACAGTGGTTATGAAAATGGATGTAACCCACACTATGATCTTCATTACATACACAGTTAATCATTTGAAATCTAATTTAGACCGATGACAATCATATTAGATTCATATTAACCCTAGAACTGCAGACAATAAGCTAGGACTCAAAAAGTCTGTTCAAAAAGGCAGAATTCCAGGTAAGGAAATCATATATGGCATTTGCCATTACACATATTTTATTTAAATTTCTGTTAACACTAGAACCGCCAACAGCATCAGCACCTACATATCATTTTCAAATCATTTAATTTGTTCCTCAATAATTTAAAACTCACTTAATTGGGTTAATTTAGAAATTGCTTCAGTTTATCATCATCATAATAATAATAATAATGCATTTTATTTATATAGCGCTTTTCACAACTCAAAGACGCTTTACAGTATGAGGGAGGGTAGACAAACAAGGACAGGCAAACAAGTAAGTATAGTAAAATAAATAATAAATAAATAAAAAGGCAGTCAAGAGGAAGTTGATTGAGAGGGGGGGGGGGGCTTATGGGTAGACAGAGTTGAAAAGCTGTGTTTTGAGGCGGGGACTGAAAGATGTGAGGGAGGGAGAGTTCCAGAGCCTAGGAGCTGCCACCTGAGAAGGCTCTGTCCCCAAAGCTGCAGAGTGTGGATGATCATAAAAGATCAAAAGGTTCAGATGCATGTAACAATAATCAAGGGAATGATGCACTTCTACAACACAACAAACAACATAATTAAACATTTTAAACAAACTATTAAAGTAGATGAACTACATTATTCAAAAGTTTACAGTAACTTCTGATAATAACACAGGGGAAATAACGAGGCATCTCTCTCTCTACTTACAGGAGATTCTCTCTCTCTCTCTCTCTCTCTCTCTTACTCTCTCTCTTACTCTCTTCTCCTCTCATTCTCTCTCTTCTCTCTCTTCTCTCCTCTCTCTCTCTCTCTCTCTCTCTCTCTCTCTCTCTCTCTCTCTCTCTCTCTCTCTCCCCCTCTATCCCCCTCTATCCCCCTCCTGGCAGCCCGTCAGTATCAGAGTTAGTCAAAATGAATCCCTTGGCGGTTCTAGTGTTCATTTACCGTTTTGTCTTCTCTTTGCTTAATCGATTTGAAACCAAGTCTAACGTAGCTTAAACTTAACGTTAGCTTTCTAGCTAACACAACACATGCACGCACCTTTCTCTGTGGGTTTGTTGTAGTGACGAATGAAGTTGGATGTTGTGGTGGTCGTGTCACTGATCTTGATGCTGCAGACCCTGCATACCGCTGTTCTCTTCTTATTACCGTCATCGACAACATAATCCTTGAATCCAAACTTCACTATTTGTGGAGTAAAGCTAGCCGCTGCCATGTTAGCTGAGACTCCTGCCTTCTAGTGGGTTGCCAGGTTTGCGCGCATGGCGCTATAATCACGTTTTTCGAAAACACTAAACGTAATATCTCACTACAAAAACAAACGCCAATATTTAATTTTAAACAGTCAAGTCCTTTCAAGTCATCTGTCTCAAGCTTAAGTCAAGTCTCAAGTCATGAATACCAAGTCAAAGTCAAGTCAAGTCTTTTATCAATGTTAGTCAAGCAAGTCTCAAGTAAAAAAATATGCGACTCGAGTCTGACTCGAGTCAAGTCATGTGACTCGAGTCCCCACCTCTGACAAATACCAATAACTGTATTGCATTGTTTTCTTATGCGCAATTACTTCATACTGTCTAGTTCTCTTTTTCGTCCTGCATTTATTGGGCCCCCCTCAGAAAATAACTGGCCCCCCAGTGGCCCCCCCAGTCAAATTGGTCTAGAACCGCCACTGCAGCAGTGCTCCATAAGTAGAGGGCTCCGCTGTGCTTATATAACATGGGTTACCATACGTAACCCTACGTTATATCTCTCACAGACTCCGCCCTCTACTGGACTCTATGGGTACAGGGGGCGGAGCCCGACGTATACCCGCTCTGCTGTTGTCACAAACGAGCTGAGAACCAAAATGCAATACACGGGAAACCAGGAATAGTCTGTAACCAGCTTTATTAAAGGCAATAGGCTGGTAGGAGACAAAACGGCAGATAGTAGGCAAAGGGCTGGTCGGGGACAGGCGAGGGTTCCAGGAGAAAGCAAGACGGGAGTCGCAGGTACAGAACGGGTCAGGGAGCAGGCGAGGCAGAATAGTCCGGGTACAGGCAGGTACTATATAGGTAACATAAGATAAGAATACACAAGTTTAAATGATTTGTTATTGGTTGTGATCATATTCTAAAGATGTTTGGATTATTGAAAAGTATACAGCTCCCTTTCATAGAGTGTTGAGGGATGTATCCATAAAGTCATTTTGTGCTCAAAGTGCATCAGATTGATGCTTTTAAAGGTCACATGTCATGGCCATTTCCACTGATCATAATTCCATTGTTGAGGTCTACTAGAATAGATTTATACTGTGCAATTTTCCAAACTCACATTGTTTCGCATACAGCATCTCTGTAAACTACGTGTATTCACTCTCTCCACTAAACGGCTCGTTGCAGCTCTTGCTCCCCCCCCCTCCCTGTGAGCCCAGTGTGCTCCGATTGGTCGGGACCAGTCGGGACGTTGTGAATCGCGCTGAGCTCCGTGGAGGTGTGATTTCCTTGTTTAGCGATACACAGCGAAACACAGCCAAACTCACCCTGAGCACACACAAAGTCACGGCCGAAGTAAAAACAATAAGTGTGGCTTGATATTGAGTAAGAAAAAGGTTGATAAACGCTGTGAAAATGGGTCTGCAGAGAGAATTTCGCCGCGATCCCAACTGTCTGTTATCAGCCAGGGAGGAGAGATCAGCAGAGCTGCATGCACTGAGTGTGTGAGGAAGTCCGTGGATTGGTCAATTTGGACCAATCAGCGGGGGCTTAACGTAACGGCTCCGCGGACGTAACATAACGGCTCCACGGATTGGTCCATTTCGTTCCGGATACGACATGACATCAGATATCC